TGCTCCACCTTATCCCCAGCAACGGTAGCTGTTGATTCTGGTGCACCCTGTAAGGCAATTTGGCGAGTTTGCTTAACACGTCTTCTAGAAGCCAGCCGATATCGTGCTGATTTGCAGTAAGGTGCAATGAACACCGCGGACGGAAGGGAATTTAGAGCAAGGACTGAACGAAGTGCGAACGGGTTTATAAGACGCAAAAAACAAAGACGACCGGTCAACTGTAAGACGGCAGGTAAATAACAAGTGGCAGGACTGAGTTTAGAGGTCTTTTTTACTTTTAACTTATAATAATAACCTGCTTTTACATGTTTATTAACTATATTTTCCCTTTCTTCGTTAAATTCCACCAATAGGAGCTTTAATTCCCATTTTTGTTAAATTCCTCCGACATAAGGTCGAATTTACCTCAATTAGCATCCGAAACCTGCAAAATAGGAGTTTATGTTGATTGAATTTTATTTCATTTTAGTATATTGAAACAAATATAATCTCATTTAATTTAATACAATTAAACGAATACAATTAAATATTCGTTTACTTTCACTAGCCAAGAATTTAATGTTTCACCATAAAATACGTTAGGCAGTTGGGCGGGGGAATATATATTTAGAGGGCCCTATGAGTCAGTTTTTGCCTAAAGAAATTCAAAATACTTCAACGAGTCCTTTCAGTTGCTGTTTTGTAATCTTCGGGTATGGGAGTAGTCGGCAGTGGGATTTGGAAGGTACTGCACAAAAACATGCCAGAATATAATTCTTGTCAGCTACCCTTACTAATGCACTAGAGCCAACCGAAGGCTAAAATCATGGAAAGACGCTCAGTCTGAGTGTCGAACCACGATGTTGTTTATCCAGACTGAAATTGCTCTTGAAGCGGAATAGCCGGCATTAACCGCACGGTGTAGGCGAGTTTGGGGAACATCGGTATTTCGTTTAAGGGCAAATTGAAAACGCAAAGCAGGAGCAGTGGAAACGCAGACACCAGTACACGTAGACCATCATATGCCCGAGGGAACGCATGGCTGAGGTAGCCGTGCCGCTGATTACAACGGCAAGTGCGTGCGGACGTTCGGTGCAAAAAACGGAACGCCAAGCCTGTGGGCTAGCGTCCAGCTCGGTGAAATCATAATCGGCTGAGGCAACATAGGTAGTAAAAGAGGGATCCATCCACCGAAGGAAAGGTGAAGGAGCCGCAGAGGGGGACGAAATTAACGGAAAATTGCGGAATACCCACAAAGGTAAATATGATTACTTACAACCGGAAGGCCGGAATCCGCAGTAGGGGTTATGTGCGTAGCCGAAGGCGCCAGTGGTAAAATCAAAGGTCTTCACTAGATCATGGAACATAGACCAACAAGCGTGAAAGCGAATGATGCAACAGATCGTCAAGGGAAAGGTGAACGAAACGAGTAGGCGCCGAAAAAAGGATGAAGTGCATGACATCGGCAAACCATAAGTATGTTCATTAAAAACGTGACCAAAGAGAGGGGGAGAGGTATTTGTGAGGAGTCAAAGTGCTCGCAGACAAAGACAAGACCCGTATCTAGGGCTTGGACCAAACACTTGTATGCGTGGACGAAGTATGTTGGTGCATAGCTGTGAAGGATAAAGTGCAGCACCAGGGCAACACGAAAGTGCGGTCGGATAGAACTGGACGAATTAAGGGGGAAGAGGTTTGTAATAGGAGCCGTAGCGGTCGTAGGCGAAGATAAGGCCCATATGTAGGGCGCAGGTCGGGTACTTTGTAGGCGTGGAAAAAGTACACTGGGGGCATAGCTGTGAAGGATAGAGTGCACGACATGGAAAACACGTAAGTGCGACCGGTCACACCTGGGCGAATGAGGGGAGGTAGGTGGTTTTTGTAAGGGCTTGAAACTACGGTAGGCAAATACAAAGCTCGTACGAAAGATGCCGG